GGCAGGGCGCAGCGGGCAGCGCTGGCCAACTGTCTGGCCCCGGCCCTGGGCCACAACGCAGCACATGACTGCGCTGTTTAAAGTTAGTGCCCAAAGAAAGTTTGTATGGGGAGAGGGAAGGTGGGATATCCTGTAACTGTTTGTTCTCTTACCACAGTACATCGCTGTGCACATCATACCTGATCAGATGATGTCCTTTGGAGGCTCCACCGATCCCTGCGCGCTCTGCAGCCTGTACAGCATCGGCAAAATAGGAGGGCAGCAGAACAAGACTTACACCAAGCTCCTGTGTGATCTGATCTCTAAGCACTTGCACGTATCTGCAGACAGGTAAGGCTGGGACATGATGTTATTAACCTTGTTTATCTGGCTTTCAAAAACTGCTTTGAAAAGTTTATTTAACAATACAAAAAGCCCAGGAATAAGTCCATGCATTTGAGAAAATACAAGGTGATCATTTGCAGTGTTTTCATGTCCAGTTAAGAGTTTGTCTACATCTTTTCCTTGAGACCCCTCTGTTAAATGGCTTCCTGTTCTCAGAGTAGGGAAAAATTCCAGAGGACTAACAAGTGGGTTTTGCCACTGAGGTGTGATGTCCTCTGCTGATGGGAGGCTGAAAGCACAAGGGAGGAGCAGTAACAGGCTGGTGCTGACAGGCAGAGTAGAAACCAGCAGGCTGTGAGCAGCTCCCTCACAGGCTGTGGAGCCTTGGGTTGGGATGGTGTCTGCTTGCAGAAGGAAGGGGAAGAACCTGCTGCCACTGATGTGCTGGGCTTGGAAGGGAGAAGCGCAGAGCTGGCCCTGAGGGCCTGCTTGGCTTGCGTAAGGCTGTTTGTCTGTTTGACATGTGTGAAGGACTGCAGCGCTTGGAAACAAAAGGTTTTGATCTCCGGAAATTCTTGACAGGCTGCGAAGCAAAAGCTGTCTGGTGTCTGAACGGACCCTGACTGAAGAAGAGTTTGTATTTTAAAAAAAGACAGAAGTACTCCAAGGAATATTGACTGTTGGAGGCCCTTCCAGAGAAGTTAGCAAGATTTCAGTAAAAATGAAGCTTGACATTTCTTCTGGGGAACAGGAACACCTGTTCCCTATCCTGTTGTCCTATCTCACTTGTTCCTTATATAAATGAGTCGATAAGGTAATTGTTTGTGTGTTCCTGTGCCTTTTCTGCAGGGTGTACATCAACTACTTTGACATGAATGCTGCCAATGTGGGCTGGAATGGTTCCACCTTTGCATAGAGCTCTCCTGTCTGTCTGAAGAGGCTGCTTCTGGACCGACCCTCATCCTGCCCCTTAGCAGAAACCACCACACAAGTGGCCCCATGTTGCATTTTGTGCACTCTCACAGATTGACGACTCCTTGCTAGTGTGTTTAAATATTGCTGCTTCAACATTCCTCTGTTTTCTCCATGTAGAAAACAAATAAAGATTTAGAATTAAGCTGTCTGGTGTAGGCTTTGGCAGGTTGGGGATGGAGTTGGGCAGTCGGCAGCATAGCTGTTTCACTCTGATTGCTAAAGCAAACAAAGCGAATGCTTTGGGTTTGTTTCCATTTCTCTGATGCAGTATTTCACAGTACGGTTAGACTGAGTGGCAGGTGCCTGACAGCACTGCAGGCTGTTTTTTACCTTGCTGTAGGTGCCTTTAGGGCTTTTTGTTGCCGAGTTTCTTTTGGCTGTGTCCTCCATTGCTACAGCAGAACCAGTCCTTGTGCCAGCCCCGTGCCTGCCGTTTGGGGGACACTTTCCTCTAACAATGTGCTGGCTTGATGGGGCCGAACAAGGCAGGAGTGCTTTTACTCAGTGAGTCGAAATGCTGCTATCCGTACTGCTTACACTGGCTCCCTTCAGGCATCCAGGGCAGGCCCTCAGTGCTGCGGTAGCTGTGCTGGGGCCTGTGGTAGAGTTCTCCGCTACCTGCCGGCCTG